TTTTTTTTGCAAATTGAAAGCAAGGTGGCAATATATACAAACACACATACTATATATGTATATATTTATATACTTATTTTTACTTATTTATCTATGAACGTATTTCTGCTGGTGGCTGTTGGCAGTTTGTTGTCAACTCCAACGCTTACAACCACACTTACTCCAACACCAGTGCCATTGCCATCACCGTCACCGTCACCGTTATTGCACCACCATTGCATTTTCAGTGCCAGGGGCCGCGCAATTGACTTGTGACTGTACAAACAATGCATGGTTTTGCTTCTTCGTTTATTTTAGAGACACACATACACGCACATACATACATGCATACATGGTGTCTACTTTTCGTTCGCTTATCTTTTCTATTCCACATGATTTTCTACTCTTTTATTTATTTTGTAATTTATTTTTGTGGCGCAGTGACACCAGCGTCTAAGGAGTGCGTACTGGTTGGTGGGTGGAATAGCAAAAACCGCACAACAGCCAATTTATTTATTTTGCAAATCCCGAACAGCTCACTTACTTTACACTCCATGCTTTTGAAGTACTTTGTTTTTTTTTTGCTAATTTATGAGCAAAAGCAGGAGAAAAAGAGCCGCAAAAAATTTGATTGCATATTTTTTGTTGCAAGCAGCCCAAAAAGAGAGTAAAAATAAGTGGGGATGAATTTAATAAATGCGACCACATACAAAAATATGACATCATGATTCAAGCAACGTGGTCGAAAAAGAGCAATTTAGCATTAAAATGTGCATATTTGTAAGGTAACTAGAGAATGTGTGTAATACTTCGAAATGTGAGTCGTTGGCGTTAGATATTCAATTCAATCAGAATTCTTGAAAACTCAATGCTCATATATTTATACATATGTACATATGCCATATATATATTTATACATATGTACACAACTTCCCGATGACCTAGAAACTTGAAGAAACTTTACAGCTGGCTCAGATCCCTATAACAACGCAATACGAAAGATGTTTCATTCCACCACTTCCTGTAACCGCACTTACAAGTACCTTGGTAACAATTTAATCTATTTAGCTAAGAAGTTCTGTTTAAATCCTGGTGTTGCATACTTCACGGGGCAATATTTTGTTACCTGCTTATGAGATGGTAACAAAATTTAACAATGTACAGAATGCGAAAAGGGTTCAAAGATTACCGGGAACTTTATTTATCGGTAACAAAATGTTTGTTGCCTGTTAGAGTCATTTAATGAACGGCGAAAACTGCTATGATATAAATTTTTTTACAGAAATCTATCCAAAATACATATGTATGTTAAAAAAATTCTCTTTTCAGATGTCATTTAAATTTTAATATTTATGAATTACATTCTAAAATTTTTATCGAGCTCAAGGTCGTATTTAAGGAATGCATGTTGTGGAAAAACAACAATAATTTACATTTGGTAGAAGTTGTATCTGCTATTTCGGAGATCTCAACATCTCATCAGACTTCTTCAACCGCGGTCACTGGGATATGAACCAGCGACCTCGGATTACAGTGGTCTTACCCACTGAGCCAAGTTCGCCATGTAAGCTGTTGTTGCTTTTTTCCACTTTTTCAATTTGTCATACCAACAACAATCAAGGGCGACGGTCAGGATCTTGTCGCGATTTCAGCTCTTCTACTTATACCTGTTCATTCTCATTAGGTACTACATCTTTTTCAGAATTTCTTATTGGCGCTGCCAAGCGTAGGTTTGAACTGGTCAATAACCAGTGAGAGCCTACGAGTCTTACCAGCTAGTAGAGTTGTAAAACTATCGATAGTGCCGCCATCGATAGTTTTCATGTTTCAGAAAAGATTTATCATTACTCGTTGATAGTTTCCAGCAATACTATCGATAGTGTAAAACGCTACCATCGGTAGTACTATCGATAGTAGAATGTAATGTTAAAAACTGTGCCAAATTAACAGGGACGGCATCGAAAAACAAAAAAAAAAACAAAATATTGAAAATATAAACATACGTGGGGAATTTTTCTCCATTTATACGGTTCTGATTGCAGGTAGGTTCGGCTCATCAATTGAGTTCAACGTAAACCCTAACGGCTTACACGTCAACAGCCTAATTTCAAGTACCCAACTCCACTCATTTTCGGTATCGGTCATTTCAAAGTGATATTGTTTGCCACTTGTTTCACATCTTTCATGGACATCAGAAAATTTTACCTCAACCGATTACTGTTTTTTTGTTTACACTCTAAAAAGTGCATGTAAAACTACTACTGAAAAATGTTTATTTTTCAAACCAGAATCTGTTCAAGATTTGATTTTGAACTAGGAATGTCGGAAAAACATCGATGCATCGAAAATATCGATGTTTTGCCTCGATGCATCGAAAATTTTCCACTCGATGTATAAATAGTCGATGTATCGATAAATCTATGTATCGATGTTTTTTGAAAACTCACATCCCCGATACATTGAACCGCCATTCCAGTTTTTCATTGTTCAAAAGAGAGCAGTGGCTTAGGCAAAAATAAAATAAAATGGCTGCAAGAAGAGGAAGAAGATGTATGCCCTTGGATGCATCGAAAAATATCGACGTACATTTCGATGCATCGGATCAAAGAAAAACATCGATGTATTTTTGCCACTGACATCCCTATTTTGAATATGAGTTGTTAAAAACACACACATAAATATACACAAAAAAATTTCAAATTACAAACATTTTGAAAGTAAAAAATATATTTTTTACAAATAATAAAAATTAATGCTCATACTTACTCAATTTTAAATACTTTATGTGTAATTTTTCTCTACGTGACAAATTTACAGTCTTTAATTTTGCATACATTAGGAGGGAAAACTGGACACCTATCTTAATATGCGCAAATTTAAACAAAAATTTTTTAGAGTGTAGTTATTTGAGGTCTTAACAACATTTTTACCTTAACTGCATAGATACACAAGTTTTAAAGAAAGCTGATATCTAAACAATCGATGATCGATATATAAACCGAGCACACATAAAGGAGTTATATCGCAGAAACTTGTATCTGAACAATCAGCGGCATAGGATATATAGCTTATATATGTATATATACATGCCGGCTTTATTTTTTTCGGACCACTCTAATGTATATACATACATATAAGTATACATAGCCATAATAAACTCGCAAATTCACACTGCGCCACCAGAGTTGCTAATTCTTCGCGCGAAAATTTTGTTTATTATTTTTTAAGGCAGATATTATTACAATTTGCAATATATTTCCACTTTACTTCGTTCACTTTTTCCTAAATTTGTTTATATTTTAATATTTATGTTAGTTTATCGCAGGCAGAATTTTTCCACCAAATGCATTTAGTGTCAACTAACGAAATTTCTATTCTGTTTACTTTCACAATTGCCTATTAGTTTGGTTCACGTATACATGCTTGTATGTATGTAAATATGTATACATATATGTGTGTGTGTGTGTGTATGACAATAGTTATGCCATACCTTTAGTGTATAGTTTTTATTTTGGTGCAACAAATTCAATTAGAACTATTTGTTTTGACAAAGGCCAAAACAAAGCAAATGCGAAAAACTAGAAATCTCTGCAAAAAAAAAATAAAAAATAAAAATTTTTGCAATTTGTGTGCAAACACTGTTGCCTGCTCTGATAATTCTACAAAATTCGATTAAGGGGAAAACCAATATTTTACCTTGATTTAATTTTTGTCGTTTGGCACTTTGTTTATTTTTTAGCGAAACATTTGATAAACAATAGCAGGTGCATTCGGCGACCGATAGTCGACTCATGTGCGCAGAGTAATTGAATTTTTAAAAAAGAAAAAAGAAATCACATGCAACTTAATTTGATTTCGTGCCGCACAGACTGTATTCGCGAAATTAACAAGGTTCATGTTTTTCCAATGATTCAAAAATAAAATGTTTGCATTTGTCATCAATTAAGTCAATATATTTCCTATTAACTTTCAGAGAAAAAATTTGCAAAAGTTTACATTAAGTTAAACCTCACCAAATTAGCTTTAATTGCCCCTTTTATTTATTTACAAAGCGGGTTTTCTCGCCTGATTCACCTTTGATAAAACCAATACTGTTGGAAGAAGACTTTTTTTAGGCATAAAGTGACCAGTAAGCCATCGAATATTCCAATTCTGCGGTGGGTGCATCACTCAACGGCCCATTAACCCATTAGCTGCCGCCTGAAAGACCCTTTTTGGCCCTTACTTCAAGAAACCCCGTCAAAAGCAAATTTTGGAAGTTTGTTAGAGGTTTGATATATTCCAGAAAATCATTCTTCGGGAAATTTCAATTGGGGTCTTTTCAGGCAAAAACTTCATGTGTTCAAGTCTTTGCAAAGTTAAAACAATAAATAGTATATATATGCCAAGAAGGAATAATAGCCAAGCTCTATTTTAAAAAATTGTTAGAAGAAAAAAGCAAAATTTTTTCGTGTGAATTGTTTTTTAATTCTTTAAAGACTTTTATGTTGGTGGCATGAAGTTTTTGCTTAAGTAGACTTCTAGAATAATTTTCTACTATATATCAATCATCAAACAAACTTCCAAATTTGCTTTTTTTCCGCGGTTTTTTGAAACAAGGGTGAAAACGAACTTTTCAGCTACTGGGTTAAAACGTTCTACGAAAATATTTCCCATGAAATTTTACTGCATATGTTTTAACCTTTATTTTTTATTTTTTTTTTAACTACTTAGGCCGAGAAAAAAAAATAAAAATACGAGCTAAATTTTGCAAATCCATCAATTGTTTCATAACTGGATGGGTACACTTTTTTCATTACAAATAAGAACAAAACTAACTAAATTTACTCTAGCTAGCTTTTGCTTCTTCCATAGTATTCTGTAGTTTTGTGTTATGGTCGCTTCTCTAAATGAAACGATCTGATATGATACGATATGATATTTTGTTTAAAACAGAATAAGCATAATAAAATTTCTAAATATAATAACCACTCTTTTAATATAAGTGACTACTGATTTTACAATTTAGATTTTTCACTTACCAAAAATTTTTAGCGATGTATTTCGTTGAGGCTGTGTTCGTTATTAGATGCAGCAAGATTTCTTTTTGTTTCTACGTTTTTGTTTATTGTTCTCATAAAAAAATTTAATTCTAATTTAAATGAGCACACGGAAATGATAAAGTCATTTGCACCACTCTCAAATGCTTTTAAGATCACTTTAATAATGTTTTTACACCAGCGGAGGAGGCCTTCACAGTGGCCCTGATACGTCAGCGTCGCGCGCTTCCAAAATCAAAAACTATTCGTATGTATGTATGTATGTATGTATGTTTATCAAAGCAACGAGGTGCATCTGCTGAATTAAAGCAGCTGATATCCGCGGTCATGGCGTACTACTAACTGCATCTTTTGATGTTCTCACATAAATTTTGTGTTAAATGTCAACTGTTTCATGCATTAAAATTCCTGACGATTCACATTTTTTTTCTTTTTCATGAAAAATGTCAACCAGCTCTTCAAATAGCTGGCCGCAGCAAGATGCTAAGCTTTTGTATAGTGAGCTGCAAGAAAAAAGAAACAAGGAAGTTGTCAGGTTTCATAAGCACAAAATTCCAACTGAGTGTTTGGGTGTGTGTGTGTGTGTGTGACTAAATATATAAAAAGTGGAAATTTTCCAACTGTTTATTTGACAGCAGCAGAGCAACAACAAAGTGCAGAGCAACAAACAAAAACAACGCTGATAATGACAGCGTGCGTGAGTAGACGCAAGCAACAAGGACACTGTCACGACAATCCGTCAGCCTGTCTGTCATCAGAGCAGGTCGCTCACGCGGGCAGTTTGTCAGTCTGTTGGTCGGTCGGTCGGTCGGTCGGTCGATCGGTCTGTCAGCAAAGAGGTGAATCATAAGAACAATTTCATATTTGCAATAATAGATATATGTACATAGAGCAAATTGTACATACGAGTATGTATTTGCAATTTTACGGCTAAAAAATTAAAAAAAAAGCGTCTTAAGTGACACTCGTAGACAAAGAAATTCGCCTTTGACACCGCCATCGCCGCTAGCTCTGCCGCAGTCGGATTGGCTTTTCTCTGGAATTAATAGGAAATGCATTTTTCACGCTGTCATTTTAATAAATTACAAACAATTGAGTGAATTATTAATTAGCACATTTGAAATCAAAAGAATACAACAAATCATATTAGGCATTTATCTGTGCGCTTCGCCCAGCCTTGTTTTGTTTTGCCTGAAACGTCTCGACTGTTCTTCGTCGATGCAGCCACGCGATAAGAAAGCCAACAACTAATAGTTTCTTGACTTTTTTGCGTATTAAAATTGAATTAATTAAAACTTGCTGACAAATAAAAATAATACTTTGAAATTATACGACGCCAACCAAAGCGCGTAAGTATTTACGTATGTATATGAATACCATTTAAAAACAGACATGTGTATGTATGTATGTATGCATGTGTAAGTTTATGCATTAGTGAGTCGTTAGAACGAAAATGCAGCTCACCGCGCACCGCACTTTTATTACAGCAATTTGGCCCTTACTTTAAATTTTAATAAACAGTGTGTTGAACAAGTAAGCGACCTACTAAACGGATATATCTTAGTATTTGTTTTTTTAACTGTCCCTATAACAGTGGAACTCACAAAAAGCTTTGATCGCATTACCTGTCAAACTCAGTTACGACCAAAGCATATCGATCAATTTTTCGATAAAATTTTCATCACAAATGGGCGAAGAGAGCTTCTATCCACAGGATCACTGGGGCAGATCAGATGTGCAATATTTAGGTCAAAAGCGACATGGGAAGAGCTTCTACCCTGTACGCGCTTACATAAAGTCTACAAAACGGTTGACATGCATATGCGTGTCTGTAGGGGGGCACAGGATAAAATCTATATCGATTACTACTAATCCGATTCAAGTACACATAATTTATAATTACGCACAGAAAGAGCTTTTACTTTATTTTTTTAATTTCTAACTTATTATAGATACCCTGTAGGGAAGTCAACTAACTAAAAATGCACTAAAAGTTCACTATTTTTGAACTAGGGGTGACTACAAGATTCCCGACCGGGTACTCTTCGTATACTTATCCATTTATGTATGAATACATTTAACTGACACAAGTACTGCATACAAAAAATATCTATGTTCATAAATTGCAAATTTATTGCATTTGAAGTTCAAGCGACTGCTACTGGGCAGCACTTAATGTTCCTATTTAATGGCTGTAATTATCAGAATTCGCTGAAAACTTCATTGAAATTACGCTGATCTGCTGAACTTTAAACCATCGGTTTTAAATATCGAAATTTTATTTGAGTGAAATTTATTCTACGTGCATATGTATGTACATATGTGCATTAAGGTGGTACAAAACAATGAAAGTCGAATGGACAATTTCTATATAGGATAATGGTGAAATAAAAAACTGGTTATTGCTATCACAGAGTTTTCTGATGGAAAAATATTGGTTTTCAAGAAGTATATACATACCTAACATTTCTACGAAAATTTCTTTTTTCCCATATAAAATATTTATGTGCTTTGAGCGGCCTTTAAATAAAAATCAGCGGTATATATTTTCGATGATATATGTAGACAGTCCTAGAGGGTGAGCGCATCGAAATTCTTACTTTACCTTTTCACATGGATTTTTGGACCGCCCTAGTGTGCATATATGTATTGATAAATAGACAATATTCTCCCCATTTTCTGTGGCATGATATTTGCATTGATTTTGTATCAGTGTGTCTGTCCAGAATCACAGTTTTTCCTTTTCGGTCAATTCATATGAAATTTAATAAGAAAACCGCGATAAATGTTTATATTAAATTAGCAATGAAAATTGCACCTTGCAAATAAGTAATAACATAGCCACACCTAACGAAAATGCCATGGCCCGGGTACTATAAAAAGCTGTTCAATTTGCAGCATCAGGCCAGGTTTTTGACTTAAGCTGGACAATTCTTTGCAGGCAAAGTAATCAAGAAGCCGTTGCTGAAATTTTGCTAATAATAATTTGAACTCTAAGCTGCTCGTCATGGAACTTCAACTTACAACTTATTCAAGCTCAGTTGCAAACAGACTATTGGGTTATGTCAAGAAACTGTTTGTGATGGCGGAAATGAACTTCTGATGCTTGGTGTGTGGTTTCTTTACAACGAAATCTGTACTCAATTCAGCTCTGCATAGATGCCGGTAGATTACTACATCAAAAAATTTGTTTCAATGTGTATTAAAAACCAGTGTTATGAGCAAATCGCAATTGAGGAACTCTAGTTTGTATAAAGTTTTATTACTACTACTTACTAGAGTAGTTACTACTACTCTTCAGTGCAAAACATTACTATTATCCATTAAACAAATCTATATGATTTAAGCTGGCTTTCATTTCATTGCTTATTTACAAAAACTGAGCTTCCTCGCTTTTGTTTTTTTTTTTGACAAAATTTTAAACTACCTTCAATTAAAAAGCTTTTTATGTTCCGTCGGAACGAAATTGCTGAAAAGGTTACTTTTTTTAACGATCATAGTCCATAGCTAATCTCTGCAGTTGTCTTGGCAACTGGAGCACACAACTGATATCCTATTTGTGCAGCGAAATACTCACAAATTGTGAAATTTTTGCGGCTGCCGGGCGTAATCTACTATTAAAGTGAAAGCCCAAAAAGATAGTGTTACATATCTAAAAGTTTATTCTATTTCTTCATTAAAAAAAAATGTGGAAACTGATTCATCTCTCTCCCTTTCATTTTTTCAAAAACTAATACTTTTCTTTGGAAATTACTTTCAGAAACAATTTGCGTGGTTTTGGCTTAAGTAAAAACTCCTCAAATTCATCACAAGAAGATTAAAAATTTAGCTTTGGAAAAAGTACAGCTTTTATTCTGACTCTGTTTATCGAAAGGGTCCATTTGTTTGCCGTTATAGCAAATAGCTTTTCAAAAACTCTTTTCTTACTGGTATAGACAGTACTTAACCCATAATTATAAAAACACTGAAAAAAATATTACCCATTTGATGTTGCCAATCGATAACGATTTCCGCAATGATAGAGTTAAGAGGCAGTGAAGGAGTGATGTAAACGCATACCAAATAACTAATGTACCTATTTACAGATTATTTTATCATTTATATTAGGTAGACGAACTCGAAAAAGGAATTATTCTGAGACATATTTCTAGTTCCCTGAGAACTGAATGCCAATCCCACAGCCCAAAGAATTTTCTCCAATCCCGGAAGCTCCAGGCAAACCCAGACATTTGTCTAACCCTGCAGAGGATGTGTTTCCTTATTCGATCCGCAGCTTCTGAAAATTTAAAATAATAAATAAAGGGCCAAACTCAGACCATGCGAATCCAAGCATCGCTTAAAAGATAAAATAGCTTTCGCGAGCTTTCTGGTATTTGCTCTGCACATAATCCTTAACGACTTGCAGCTATGTATTTGATTCCTCCAACTTATCTACTTGACGGATGGTGCACAGGCTGTGCTCCCCTTAAGCGCTTGTAGAGAAATCGGGCCTTTTTTTGTCGGCCTCCTAATTACCAGTAACGCCAGTATATAATGCATTCATAGCCCTGCACTCTGCCACACTTATTGAGCAGATGTTGTGCAAATATGGTGTCTCTGAAAATAGTATCGTCGCCTTATTAATTGTTGAAATTCTGATTGGAAAATGCTAACTACAAAAGTCGAGAACCAATCTGGCTTAAAAATTGAACCATATGTGTTATTTATTGTTCACCGAGGCAGTTACCCCTAGGTAGCCAACGCGTCCAGAGAGTGTTGACGCTATACTACTGTTATCGGAGGCCCTGCAGGAAAAGCTGCCCCATAGCTTTAAGCCTGGCGACAAGTTTGAAGGTTATTGTATGGGCCAGCAGGTCTGCCGGCGATCGAAGCAACAAGAGTATGGTGTTGCCATCGGTGTAAATCTAGCTAAATGCCCTTACCGGTAAGCAGCCCACTTATTAATGCATGCGTTGATGCTAAGCCCTTCTTTGGTTGTCCACAAGCCGAATGGCACGTCGCGCTGGGTGTGCACAGATACTTTATTACTACTATGACGGAGACATCATCTGTATGGGTATTAGGCCCTGATTCCAGGTTTTAGTGTCTTGTTGACAACCAGCGACCATAGTGGAAGGCGGCGACGCACAGAAAATTTTGAGTATGCAAACAAAAAAAGGTAAGTCATACTCAAAATCTTTCTAAGAAATGTAATTTATAACACAGAAAATTTTTAGGAAAGTTTGTTGCTTTTTTCATTCTTGGGCTTATATGGCCTTTCGTTAAAGAAAAAACTATATTAAAAAAAAAAATTGTAATTAAAATGTAATAATAATAAAATAATATTTCCGATAAGCACTTATTAGGGAATGATCTGTTATATTAAATTATTTTAAAAAGTATTTAGTCATTTAGTATGAGTTGAAAATAAAATACAAATCTTAATATAAAACAAAACAGATATATATGTGTTGTATGAAAAAGTTGCTTATGTCGAAAGGCTGGCTTTAGTATAATGCAGCAT